ATTGGGATTGCATTGAATGTATAGATTGCTTTGGGTAGAACTGACATTTTCACAATGTTCAATCTTCCTATCCACGAGCATGAGATGTTCTTCATTTATGTAGATCTCATGTTTTCTTGAAATAGTTTTTTATAGTTTTCTTTGTACAGGTCTGTTGTGTCCCAGTCAGTGTTCTCTTATATAGGGATTTGGCTTTTTGGTTTTTTGTTTGTTTGAGATGAGACTTTCCATCCTGTTGTAGATTTTTCTGACTTTCTCCTTTGATTTCTTGATACTTGGGAAAAACAAAGAAAAGTGCAAGACTGGTTTTGTTTGCTGCTGTTTTCACCAGGCTTGGCCACTCATATTCTAGCTTCTCAGACACACCGGGTGGCTTTCCATGTTTTCTCTGCACTGGCCCAGATTTCATAGCATGAGGATGACTCATGACTATGGGTCCCCCTATTGAACCCTGCTCATTTTTCTTTACTGTGATCTAAAAGGAGTAACAGCTGTCTAATCCTTCATCTTCTGAGGTACCCCACTTTACCTTTTATCACAAAAGGTCATTGTTCATACTTGGCATGTCACAAGCTTCATTTGTTCTTGGAAGTAAATACAACCAGTCTTTGCACCCCCTTCCCTTTGCATGGATAGTCCAGATTCTTCTTCACCTTTTTTTTTTTTTTTTTTGTCAATGACATTTTTATTTTTAAAAAAAATTTTATTGTGATTTGGATGAAAATTTACAGAGCAAACATTTTTCATATAGCAGTTAATACACATTTTGTTTTATGACATTGACTGCAATTCCCCACAAAGGCAGCTCTCTCCCCACTTCCTCTCCGTAGTTACCTCTTCCCTGTGTCCTCCTTTCCTATGCATTCCTGGCCCCTGAGCTATCTCTCTGTGCAAACACTGCCCTTCTGTTCTCCCATGATTGATGGCTGTAAGGAGTGTATCTACCTGATGTTAAATGTTCACCGTATTCCTTGCTGTTGTTTGCTGGAAGCCATGGGAGTGAGTTTAATTTCAGATTTGAAGGGTAACTAGGTGCCATAGTCTTGGGGGTCTCACCAAGCTCTATCTGACCAGTAACCCTAAGATTTTTTAGTAACCCTGTGATTTTAACCCAGTCTTTTTTATGATCCTGAGTTTTGTTCCACATTGTTCTCCCACTCTGTCCATTCTGTCTGCCTGCAGGGTCCTCACTGTTTCATGTCATGACTTACCTACTTCTGGACCCATCCTTCTCTAAAATGAAAACTTTTCCTTCTCTCCCTGCCAGCTCTATTCTTTTTCTTGTTTGTGGAAAGATAAATATTGCTGAACATAACACTTGATAACCTGGTCTGCCATAATTGGTGGTAACTGTTACTCTTCCTTCAGTCTTTAGACACCTGTTTACCAACCCCTAGCCCTTGTGGCAAGGAGCTGTCATGACACGGTGGTTAAGGCATTTGGTTACTAACCAAAAGGTTGGTGATTCAAACCCACCAGCTGCTCTACAGGAGAAAGATGTGGCCGTCTGCTTCTGTAAAGATTTACAGCCTTGGAAACCCTGTGGGGCAGTTATACTCTGTAGGGTTGCTATGAGTCCCTATACGACTCAAAGTTTGGTTTGGTAGCCCTAGTGATGCAAATGGTTAAATGCTTGAGTGCTAACCCAAAGGTTGGTGGTTTGAACCCACCCAGCAGCTCTGCAGGGGAAAGACCTGATGATTGGCACCCATAAAGATTACAGCCTGGGAAACCCTATGGGGCAGTTCCAGTCTGTCACACTGGGTTGCTACAGAGCCACCAAAGTGCTTAACATCACCACCACCAAGATCAAAATGAAGTCTTCAGGCAAAGACTGCCTGTATCCATTTCCTAGAGCTGCTGTAACAAAATCCCACAAAAGTGTGGCTTAAAACAACAAATGTATTCTTCTACATTCTGGAGGCCAGAAGTCTGAAATAAAGGTGTCATCAGGACTGGTTCCTTCTGGGAACTTGAAAGGAGGATCTGTTCTTGGTTCCTTGGTGTCTTTGACTGGCAGCTGCCTTACTTTCACCTCATCATGTCTGCGTGTAAATTCCTTCTTTCCCTTAGAAAGACGCAGGTCATCGGATTTAGGCCCCACCCTAATCCAGTACTACTCTCCTTAACTTGATTCCATCTGCAAAGACCGTGTTTCCAAATGAGTTTGGTCACAGGTGCCAGGAGTGGGGACTTCAGTATGTCTTTGTGGGGAATGCAGTTTAAAGCAATTCAGCTGACTTTATTCTCTCCTAACCAGGACGGCCCCTTGAGGTGGAAGTGAAGTGCATACTTTTAGGTGTCTAAACTCTCTCCTGCCTCAGAATCTCAATGTGTGGGAATTGTAAAAATTTGACAGAGCAGAGCTTTTACATTAAATTTACCTCTTTTGAGAAGTAATTTTGGAGGCATGAAGGCTAAATAGCGATACATGACACCTTATTTTAAGCATTTTATTTATTTAGAACAATTTGCCTTCTAACAGTTGTCCTCTAGTTTTCTATTTTTCTAATAAAAAATTTAAGGACTTTGGAAGATAGACATAATTTCTATCTGTGTCTTCATCTTCTTCTCACGTTTTCTTAAAGCCCAGGCTGTCTGTCTTGCATTTATCTGGGCAATCGCCGTATCAGTAGCCTTCAGGGTCATTTCATCCCTGGTCTCTGATTACTCCCGGGCACACCTGACTACAGATGGTACATGTGCTCACCTTTGTTTGCCAAGAATACAGTTCCAAACTCAGGGCCCAGAGACATCCTTCAGACTCCAAAGCACAGAGGCTGCTGCTGGAAGTGCTGCTCATGGGGGTGACACCAGCCCCTTCAGGTTAGACCAGGTTAGCCACCCTCATGGCTCTCCCTGCGGTTTTAATTGAGAAGCATATGCACCTGAAGTCAATCAGACATGCCCAAAGGCAGGTGTTTTATATTCCATCGGGAGTCACTGCAAAGTTGAAAACCCAATGCTGTCTAATCAATTCTGACTCACAGGTACCCTGTTAAGATTGAGAACTGCCCCACAGGGTTTCCAAAGCTGTCAGCTTAGTAAAAAGAGCCTCAGCGGAAGAAGGGGAAGATCAGCAAGGAGAAGGATTGACAGTGGGCGCAACAATAAGCTCAAGCACCGCAGGGACTGTGCGGATGGCGAGGGACCAGCAGTGTTTCACGCTGTTGTGCACAGGGTCACTGTGAGTTGGAGCTGACTCAGAGTACCTAACAACAACAAATCTTTACAGAAGCAAACTGCCACAGCTTTTTCCCCAAAGAGCAACTGGTGGGTTCAAACCACTAACCTTTTGGTTGACAGATGAGCGCTTTAACCACTGCACCACCAGGACTCCTTCCCAGTCTTTACTGAAGGCCTGCCATCCTGGCCCTACAATGGGGATTATAGAGAAGAAAGAGCCTTTAGATGCGTAGCCACTGGTGGTGGGCCTGAATTGGTGATGGGTGCATGAGATATGGCAAAAAGTGTGCAGATACATGCATGGGCATCTAAACACTGATACTCGCTTGGCTTCCTAAAGCAGCCTGTGCACCTTCCTGCCCCATTAGGAAGCCCACTCCAACTAGCCATTTTCAAGATGCCAGGCAGATGAGTAGGTGAGCCACCTTCTCTTTGGAATCTGCAAGTGGCATTGCTTCAAGGGAGTGCTGTAAGCCTCGCCTCTGCCTACAGAGATGACACCTTTTGCAAAGCTCTGGTACACATAGGGCTATTCAGAACCTTTGGGCCAGTGAGGCTGTTTCAGGCCAAGGCTTTACCCTGGAGCCCTTTGGGCTGCTAGGACTCTGACCCTGAGGACCAGGTTCTAAGGTCCTGTCTCTCCTTTCTTCTCAGGTCACCAATGGTTCAGGCGTCCAGAATGAGCACATCACAAACCTGCTGCTGTTCAGCTTCCTCAAAAGCTGCTCCAACTGTAATTTCCACAATGAGCTGGAGGCGCTGAGTCATGAGCTTTTCGAGCCATTGAACCAGGGAGTGGAGGAGTATGAGGAGCTGCAGACAGATGGCAACCGGAGCAGCCACTTCCACGTGGGAATAATTGAGGCAGGTCAGCTTTGAATTCAGCCTGCTTTGCCCCAGGTCAGGGGTGCATTGTTACCAGTAGCATTTAGGGAAGCTAAGGTCTGGAAGGGACCTTTGGGTTCAATCTGTAGCTCTGTGGTTTTGGTCCGTCATATATACTTGAGTCGTATGGTTGGGACTTGGCTACCTCCTGTGGTATTGAGTTCATTATCCACCATTTTTGGATGACTGTTAGAAATCTTTCCTTCTGATGTGCCAGCCTCTCCCTCCAGGTGCTGCCGGTCCTCATTTCTGCTGTCTGGGCCAATCTAGAACAGGTGATTCTGATAAAGCTGAGGAACCACTCATCTAGATTATGTATCTAAGTGGCTCTCAAGCCATCGATTATGTAATTACAAGAACTTGGGGGGCTTGAAAAACTCTTGATGCCTGGGTCCCACCCCCCAGAAATTGATTGGATTGGTCTGGGTTTCTGTTAACAGCCACAGACGACTCTGACTGACCAGGCCTAGCTGTGTTTCTAATCAGTTGAGATCCACCTGGTTTCCTTGGACAATTCTCTGCCTTATACTTTTATTTTCACATGTATTTATGAAATAAGGAGCTCTGGTGGTATAATGAATAAGGTATTTGGCTGCTAACCAGGAGGTCAGTGGTTCAAACCCACCAGGCACTCCACAGAAGACAGATGGGATAATCTTCTTCCGTAAAGATTTACAGCCTTGGAAACCCAGTGGGGGTCTCTGTGAGTTGTAATCGACTCGATGGCAGTGAGTTTGGTTTTTTGGGTTTACTTATGAAATATATTTGTGTATATATTTACTTTCATAAACTTTCGCTTACCTATAAGATAACTAAAGAGCCATGTTAAAGCAGTTTGCTAAACTGTAAAGATTTACAGCCTTGGAAACCCTTTGGTGGGGTAGTTCTTCTATGTCCCATAGGTTCAGTATGAGTGAGAATCAACTCCACGGCAATGAGCTTGCTTTCTTTTTTTAAACAAGGTAACTAGGGGCGTGGTACCTAAGGCACTGGACTGCTAACCAGAAAGCTGGGGGTTCAAACCCACCAGCCACTAGCCCCCAAACAAATAGCTAGTGTGGGTGTGGCAGAGCCAGGAACTAGAACAAGTCTTCTTTCCTTGAGCTTGGGCTCAGTTGTCCTCCCACTGTCAGAGCCTGCCTCCAATTGCAGCCTTTCCAGACTTTGTTTACCCTGTATTAACCCTGGGCCTCTCCCCAGCTTCTACCTCAATTCCCCTTTGCCACCGGTGCTGCCTTCACTGACAGAGACTGTCTCAAGCTGAAGGCTTGGGTGCACGTTGAGGTTCAGCCACTCTCCGATCTGGCCCCAGCACAGTGGTTCTCTATAGCGTGCACATTGGAACTACATGACAAACTTCAAAATGCCCAGGCCCTGGGCTCTAACTGCAGTTGCCCAAATGTAAATATCCTAGGGCAGGAGGCTCCCCAGCTGTTCCTGATGCATACCCATTTTTAATCAGTCACTGCCCTAAAAGTCTAATGTTGACTTTTGGGGTCTCAGCAGGACCGAGGTCCCCCAGCCCAGCAGGCAGGACGTGGTATCTGACCTGAACTTTCCTGACATAAAGGTTGCACACTGCCCTCTGGTGGCCATGAAAGAGACACAGCCGAGCCAGCCTTTCCGCCTCCAGCCCTGCCTGGAACAGGCTGGGTGAGGCTGGGGCAGCTGTTCTCCCAAACCGGTGTGTGCAAAGACTTCTTCTGCCTCAGGGTCCAGCCGGAGTGTCTTGTGGGCAGCCCTACGCTGGAGTAAGAGCATTTGATACCATGCACCCCCGTTGTGGAAAGTTTTAGGAGGGGATGCAGCTTTGCTATCAGAAGCTGCTGTAGGGGTAAGTGCACTCAGAGGCTGTGGACTGTGAGGCTGCCCCCTGCGCTGTCCTCTTTCTCTTCTCTACACTGTGCTGTGCCCATAGACTACAAAGCCGGGCTTCACCCAAATGGCATTTGCAAAAGTGATTATGGGTTGTTTACTTTACCTCACCCTCTGGTAGAAAACTGGCGTGCAGGTTAAGTACCTGACAAGACTTGGGTGCAAAGGGCAGAATAGAGGCTCTGGTTTCCATGATCTCATTGATGAATTCATTTATTCAGCTGGGCCCTGGTGGACCACACATGAATCTTCATGTCACTGAGCTGGTGACCAAAAGACCAGAGAAGACCCTCCCACTGCCATCGAGTCAATTCTGACTCATAGTGAACTGCCCTTTAGGGTTTCCAAGGCTGTAAGGCTTTATGGAAGCAGACTGCCTCACCTTTCTCCCACAGAGTGTCTGGTGGGTTCAAAGTGGTGATCTTTCGGTTAGCAGCCTTAACCACTGCACCACCAGAGATCCTTCCAGGGAAGACATGTATATAAGTAACTGACACAGAGTAGAAAGGCTTAGGGAATTAAGTGAGGTGCAGATTAAATCCCGAGGGAGCTGTGAGGAGAAGGTGGTTACGTTTTGCTCTGTGGAGAATCTGGAAACACATCACAGGTGCAACTACAATTGAGCTGGGTCTTGGCTTCCGGCAAGATGGCGGACTAGGCAGAAGGATTGCAAAGACCCTCTTCAACAAAGGAAAGGGAAACCAATTAACACAGAACAGAAGATAATCTTGGACCCCTGAGCCTTAAAGGGAAGAATACAGAATTGGACTAAACCCCAACTAGCAGAAGAATTTGCGTGAAAATACCAAAAAAAGGAGACTTACAGAGCTGCGGTCTGACAGTGAACTGAGTGATCCTGACAGTACAGGCGGCTTGGAGATTCCCGACTGGTGGTAGGATCTAAGAATTAACCTAAAAATCACACTGCTAACCAGGGACTGCATGGACTGTGCACAGTGGCTGGGGAACAAACGGAGAAAGTGAAGA